TCCAGGCAGATATCATTTCCTCGCTTTCGGTTGTCATCTTGTAGTCGTGCATTTCCAAGCAACCCATGGTTTCCCGGTAATGTTGATACCTCGTGTGGTAGCAGCTCGTTGCCAAAACGTCGGCCGATGCCTGCTTTGATTCCATCGCAAGCACAACCTTCCATTCTGCTTTCATCTTGTTCAGAATGCTTTGCTTTGTTTCGCCATCGTCTGCTTCTTTCGTAGATACGAGAGCCGCTGCACAGTGCGGGCTGCTTCGCAAATACAAGCTGTACTGCATCAGCTCGTGCACGGTCGCAAGGTAGAGCCCTAGACCCTCTTTCAGAATACTTTCGTAGGTGGCAGATCTTCGAAACTTCAGTCGCAGGACCTCCAACATAATATATCTAATAAACACTGAGGCACAACAAACCCAATACAGTGTTGCACCAAGTGTTTTGGTTTGGAGGCTTCGGGTTTCGAATTTCGGCATTGTGCAATATGACAAAGCCGCCTTCCTTTGGACGTCGGACTCAAGGCATGTGGGAGCCACCGGTGCAATCCATTCGTTTTATTTAAGACTAAGACTAAGAGCTAAAACCAAACCTTCTTTCCAGTTTGGTTGATTGAAGGGGCTAGGGATATCAGTGCCTATCGAAAAAGCAGTGACAAGTGATTCTCATAAGACTTGCTCCGAACGAGGCTGCAATGCATCGGGGGCCGCCACATCTGGAATCATTGCCAGACTTCCGCTGCTCAAGGCCGTGGTGGCCAAATCACTGAGTTTCTTCTCTAGGCTGCCGCGGTTCATCTCCAAAGTGTAGTCGCGGTGAGCATTCATCGTGTTGGTGGTTTCTTGCTTAGTTGCGGCGATCAGATAAATCTTTCTAGTTCACGGGATACTACTGCCATCATCTCAAGATAAGTTTAGGCTGCAGGCGAGGCACAAGTTCCAAACACAGCTCGCGGAAGGGCTCCAGCACATTGCGGGCCACACGGAAGATCCCGAAGCTCTCCTCATTCGTGAGTGCCTGGAGGGTTGGAGGTTTTGAGTTTAGGGCTTGTAGGGACTTTTCAGAGTCAAGGATAATTGTCGATTGACATATTGACAGATGATGGGAAGGCCTTGACACAAAGATCGACGACTTTGTCGTAGGACTTTTGGTTCTGCGGGGCGGCGGCTTCAGTCTCCAGGATCTTGAAAGGATTCTTGCCGACCTCACGAGATCAAGTTATTTACATAAGCTCATAATGATGATCTCAGATGCAGCAACAGCAGACATGGATTAGGACTGATTAGGACCTAGAGCCGGGGCCTCCATAGCCGACCACAGGATAAGGAGCAAAGTCGCACTCATCTGAAATCTTTTTGAGGTGTGGGCCCAGGAGCACCATCTCGACCACGAAAACGTCTCGGCATTAAACCTTGCAACAATAATATTAATCAGTGGTCGCACGACAAGAATCTACACTATCTAAATTCTCTGCATCCAAAAGACTTGCATGTTTTGCCCAGGATATCCACCACCCTCGTGAAGTTCAGCTGCCGGTCCGGTGTCTCCTCCATACAGTTCCTGGGCCAGCAATGGTTCAGGCAAACAAGCAAAGGCATCAGTTGTTAATGGAGGGATAAGACAAGCGTCTCTTTGAGTATGTCCCGCTGAAACATTTCCATGAGCACATCGTCGGGCGTGGCCTTTGTTTGTGTTGGGTTGCAGGAACTAGAAAGAAACTGACATATTTCAGAATACAGTATACAGGCAAGGCAATGCACTTACTTATGCAGCGAAGTCGCAACTTCAAGATATCGGGATCCAGCTTCGGCGAGGGTGCTGCCAAATCCGGAGGTATTCCAGGGAGACTTCCTGGCCCTGAAGAGCCAGCCACATAAAGTAGTCATTCCTGGGTCAGAATGCTGAATGGCATCACAAGCAACGATCCTGTGTAAATGTTGCAGCTGAAGCTCGCTTCACTGCGGGAGAACAGGAGGTCACCCTTCCCTGGTGTGCGTGCAGTTTGTGCCTAAGTTGGCATTACCCGAATGTTCAATGCTCTGTCATTTTATTGCAAGAGCCAGCAAATGCAAGCAAGCTACAGCTCGTCTCTCACCAAAGAGACAGCGGCTCCGAGGTGAGCCAGATACTGATAGCAGCAAAACATCGGTCCTCCTTGGTCGGGGCATACCACTAATCGCAGGTGGGCCGTGTGTATGGGGACGTCCCATCGGCTCGCCCCGGTCTCGCGGTCGAACAGAAAGGGCATAGCGGCGGATTTCAGCTTGTAAAGCTCGCGGGTTTCAGTCTCTTTCGCTGGGAGCAGCGGCTGCGTCGGGAAGAGGTCGTCCAAACTGATGTTGACGTGTGAGAGCACGTTCCCGAGGGCTTTGAGTTCTTGCCGGCTGCTCAACCGTTCCGATCGGATGTTGTTCAAAGCCTTCGGCCTCAATTCGTTTTGGAATCCTCTGAATGGACAATTGAAATCCGAGCACAAGCTATTGCAGGCCGAGCTGCAACTTCTTTTTCAGATCAGTTTTCTTGGAATCAGAAAGGAGGGTGCTGCTTCGGGAGTCGGCAACCATTGCAGCCACTTGTAGCTTTTCTTCGGGCGAGGCATTTGAAGGAAGGAGGGTGGAGAGCCGCTGCAAAGTCCCGACCGAGACCAATCCGGGGATAGCCAGGACTGGAAGCCAAACCTGTTAATTAGTTGTTCTGATCTCCACAAACACAAAATGATTCACAATCGAAACACAGTCCAACTTAAGCCGGAGAGCATCCATCTTAGCTTTTGGCGAGGCATCACAGAGTATTGCCACAGACTTGATCCCCATGTTGCCGAGGGCCTCTGGGATGGGCACATGTTAGCTTAGCCTCTGTTTGCAAGAACCTGCCTGCTTGATGGCGAGCTCGGCTTTGCGTGTGTATCTACACATGAAATCCGACGTGGTCCTGCAGAGTGCACAGTAGCAAGGCTCGCCAACCTAAGTCCGTGGCTTCGGCTGTGTGTGCAGGGTCCTCGAATAGTGGGTCGGGCACATAGAATCAAGGCCCACGTCTTTCAGTGAGCTGTCCATGGAGCTGGAACAGAACCCGCCTCCTCTGGAGATAAACCTATCAATTGCAAGTTCGGCCCGAGGCTTGCAATCGCCCCGGAGCTTGCGGCCATCCCTGCGTGAGGCTGGGCGCGGGCTCTGGGCGAGGACACATTGCAGCAGGAAGTTTCAAATCAAAGCAAGGGCATGAGTGCTGCTGATGCCAAGCGTCTTCGTTGCCGGGTGGAATTTGTAATCAGCTTGCATCGGAGGAATCGGAGGCATATCTGTCGTGGTGGCGTGGCCCATCTGACTCTCTGCTGCTTGGCACAACAGATGAAGCAGTCTCATCTGCAGCCTTGCACAAGTATGTCGCTCCTGAAGAGGCGACAATAATTCAGAGCCCGAGGTTTCAGTGGGGATGGATGCATTTAGTTTTCATTTCGGATCGTCATATTAACTTACTGCTATCTCATGATTACAATTACCATTGTGCTTCGTCGATAACTATTGATTATGTATTGTTTGCTAAGATCTATCTATTTCTAGTAGGAAATACAACCCCCTAGATAGTATTCTTGTCATGATGACTAATTAGTTAATAGTTCTTCAACTAGTATTATCATTCACACTAACTTAATATGATCAAGCCATTAATTAATTAGTCGGAATATAATCAACTGTATTACCATGAATGATTGTTGCATGTTTTCAATGTGGAAAATGCTTTTGTTTTTAGAAATCACTATTGTTACTAACCTTCCTTAGTGTTACTGTTAGGGTTATTAGCAGTAGCTCCGGCTAATAATAATTTGGGATCCAGGGAAGCAGGACCTGTCATTATGTTGACGAATCAGCACCGAGACTCCATTATTTGAACTATTTTGCTTGTAGGCTACTCTGTTCATATTCAACTATTGTTGTTGTATATTTAAGACCTAAGAAAGCATTCCCGGGGTCCTGTCCTGAATCACCTCCTGATGATGTACCCGAAGAATAAACCAGGTGGCAGTTGCCAGAGGGATGCCTCGGCAGGGAAAGTAGTCGTTAATTAAATATCTATAAATAGGACAGGGCATGGCGACTTGTTCCGAAACCGTCAGCCTGTATCAACACGTTGCTCCTCCTTCGCCAGGAGTTTGCAACTTTGCCACCTGCAGGCAGACATCAGACTCGAGATTATGGCATCTTGGAAACGTACAAGCCAAACAAAAGCCTCTGTTGCAAGCCGGCGAAGTCCAGGAAGTTTCGCCAGGTTTCCAGGCTCACACAACCCCGGGATATCTTCAGACAGCCTCGGTTTGTGAATGCATCCCAGCAGCACAAACAAAACAGCCAAGGAGGCAAGGGACACTGCTCGTTGCCTGGAAGAAGAGAGATGATCAGCGGCTTGGTGATGCAAGCGGAAATCAAAGCTGTGAGGCATTCAAAGGCTGATTCCTGAATCACAGGTTTGCAGCCTCGCGATTGCAGGACGTAGGCGACCTGAGGCATTCCCGACACACCCCATTGCGAGCCTGAAGTACTTCGCTATGCAAAACCGAATGAATGCTTTCAGGACACCATCCACATAGTGCCGGGGAGGGTGACCCCATCGAAAGGCAACTTGAGTCTGGTGGCAGCGACCATTGCCCCCGAGCCCTTGTAGGAGGCTTTCCTGATTAAGTGAACATTGGGATCCACTCGCCAAGCCTCGGCAATGTCGAGGCCGAGCCCGTCTTGCCTGGCAATCTGGATGCTTGGCATGAAATTGAACCTTGAAGGCTTCTGGAGATCAAGGCTGCAGTCGAGCGGCACTTTTGTGCACCAGTTCGTGAAATGTTGAGATCGCTTGGTCATGGCCCACAGCTCCTCTGCCCTGAAGAGATATCTGTAGCCCTGCAAATGGTTTTCCGCTGAAACCTCAGAAACATGTCACAGAGACACAATTCTCGGGGCGGAACCAAGGCCTCACTTACTCTACATCCCAAATACAACAGCTAGCCCCACCTGCCTTGTGCACTTGGAGGACCCCTCGCTGGGGCTGCTCCAATCTAAGGTACTCAATCTCCGTGGGGGTGTAATCGCACCCGGGGCTCGGCGTCTCCGAGCTTGCATCATCCAGCACCATCTGTTCCCTGCTCTGTCCTCGCTGGATCAGATCAAAGAGTCTCGGCCGAAATGCCACCAGCTGCTCTGCAGCTGGCGCTCGGTGCTTCGACAGGGCGTCCTGTTCCAGAACTTAGATTTCGAGTCGAGAGAGAGAGAGAGAGAGAGAGAGAGACAGAGATAGATGGAGAGATGGGGAGATATGGAGAGAGAGAGAGAGAGAAAAGGAGAGAAAAGGAGAGATGGATATGGAGAGCGAGAGAGAGAGAGAGAGAGAGAGAGACAGGGAGAGAGAGAGAGAGAGAGAGAGAGAGAGAGAGAGAGAGAGGGGGAGACAGGCGGAGCCAGAGAGAGGGAAAGGGAGAGAGAGAGAGAGAGAGGGAGCGAGAGTCTGTGAGAGATCTACAGCACAAGGGATACAGACAATGACATACCTATACATGGCATGGCGACATTCCGATTGGCAGGGGCATCTTGACTGGCGTCCATAACAAACGAGTAACACGGCTAGGTGACTGCCTAAGCGGATGGATTGAGACCTAAAGATCCTGTATTGTTTTATATTCAATAGAAAGCTCTAGTTCTCCAGCTGCTCGTTTCTGATGTGTTCCCCTTTCCCTCTTCTGGCAAAGCATGCTAAAACATGCTCACACCTGATACATTCTCGTCTCGTGCATACACACACACACACACACACACTTTGCTATTCTCTCTTAAGCTGTTTTCGGTCATTCCCGACTACGACTCAAGACCCACAATGAGCTGTAATTGTTGGCTCCCTGTTTCTACACACCTTTTCTCCCTCTCTCTCTCTCTCTCTCTCTCTCTCTCTCTCTCTCTCTCTCTCTCTCTCTCCCTCTCTCTCTCTCTCTCTCTCTCTCTCTCTCTCTCTCTCTCTCTCTCTCTCTCTCTCTCGCTCTCTCTTCCCTGTTGTAGGGCAGCTCAGCACAGGACACTCAGCAAGCTTAAGTGCAAGTGCTAGTCCTCCCACGAAGCCTTGTCGACATCGAGTTCGCCGATGGGTTTTCCTTCTTGAAGATGCACATCCACAATGATAATCTTATGCTGCAGTTTCGACTGCAATTCCTCCCGCACAGAAGGATCTTCACACCTCGGATGGCGGGGCCAGTGCCTAGTCTGATTCGGTGCTCCAGAACGAGCGAGCACGGTGCTTGCCCAGTAACTCGGAGAGCTGCTTGAGCCTCTCCCGTAGCCAGTGTATCGCGGCCATTGAGCCGTTGCTCGTCCTGGGTCGTTGGCGTTGGCGAGAGTGCTCGCTCAGGTTAGGGTGGTGGCTCAGCGGTCGCGGTGCGGCAGGGTGCGGGACAATAATGTCGAGCGAGCACGCATTCTTTTAAATCCTAGCCTGTCGAGCAAGCACGTTGGATGCCTGGACGTTTTTGCATTTAGCGGCCGTGTGTGGGGTTTAGTAGAACAGGGTGCTCGCTCGCAGTTCTGCGCCGGAACCGTGCGACACCGTGTCGGCAAAATCTTCCCGAGCGAGCACGTTGCGGGCGAGCGAGCACGTTGTGTGTGAGCGAGCACGTTGCAGTTGAGCGAGCACGTTGTGTGCGAGCGAGCACGTTGCACTGCAGCGACAAGCGAAACACCGGCCCAAATCGCCGAAAACCTCCAATTGCCTTCTAAACTTCTCTTGCAGCACATTCTGGTTTCCGGACTCCCCCGGCTCCGACCCCCTCCCGGCATTGAATTCCAAGGCGAGGCTCTCCAGTGGATCGGCTGCGATCCACCAGGACCAGGAGCAGGTGCCAATCGGCCGGGCAAAGGCTACATCTAATCTAGACTAGTCATGGAGGCTTTTCTTGGCAGGGTGCAGAAGTATAGCATAAGCCACTATTCTAGAATACTGACTCATTGTCGGTTGCAGACTAGTCGGGGAGGCCTCAGAAACCCCAGAGAGTCGGCCCATCTCCCAAATCGATTCTTTATATTAGTTAGTTAGTTCGTGCCCGCCTAATTCTTTATTATTTAAGTTTCACTAACTAACTAACTAACTGACTAGCTAACTAGCTAACTATTACAAATGTGATAGCTATCTAACCAGCTAACTACTTGACTATTTAATTACTAAACAAGTAGTTGGGCGGCAAACTTCGGGGACTTAAGCAGTCGTGGTCCCTAGGATCTCCGGGTGCTTGGGGTTGTGGGTGTCGCACTAGGATACTAAACTTCGGGACCTTAGCAGTCGTGATCCCAAGGCTCTCTGGGTGCTTTGGGTTTTGGGTGTCGCAGTAGGTGAAGGACGAGACTGTGGTTGAAAGCTTTGCGATATTGCCCTCGGTGCATTCTGCAAAGCCAAAGCTTTAAGAATCGAATCGAGAATGACACACATGTCTGTGCAAGTCTCACAGCTCAAGAATGGCACAGCAGCAACAGTCTCGGGGAATCGAATCTGCGACCTTTGCTTGTTTGTTTTATGCCTCCGCCCCAGCACATGTGCAAGTATTGGACAGGCCACTCTCGCTGCTCCTGCTCAAAATTCCGAGAAGAACACCTTAGCCTATTATCCAACCAAGATTTAACACCCCTAAGGCCCTAAGGACGTCTAGTCTGGGTAATAGCACGACCATTCCTAGCCTTTTGCTTACAATGTTCCGTCAGGAAAGTCAAGAATCAATTGCAAGCACGAAGCAGCCAAGCAGTAAAAGATTCTAGTCTAGTGAAGTTCTCTACTACTAGTCACTGGTCTAGACTAACTCGTCCCGGCCTGGGTTATAGAGCCCCGGTAGCGGAAGCAGCAGCCTCAAAATTCCATCAGAAACAAGCCCTCGGCCTCAGGTGTGCTTGGAATTCGTGATGGCTGGCCGGCGGCTGGGAGTCACGAAGGCCTCGCGGATGCAAAGCTTCACCGTATAGCTTGGGTTCCGTGCACATCAGTATGTTCAGTAGAACGAAGAATTTCAGACAAGTAGCTTCGCCAGACACAATGGATT